CCCTCCACCTGCACCACAAGCACACAGCCTCACCTGACTGCAGTATTGCAGGTCCAGCCCCAGCCACTCCCCGCCCTCCAGGCTCCTCCTCAGCTCCCGCGACTCCCAGAACTCCGGGCAGCTTCCCGCAAGCTTCCTGACCGTCGCCGCCACGTCAAGTTCGCAAAAATAGTGGGGCTTTGCCGCGACAGCCACCGGCGCCTGAGGGTGCTTGCCAGCCCACACCAAGAAGTGCCAGCAGGAGTCGCGATGCGCGAGGGCGAAATTCGCGAGCGCGGCGGCGCCGGGCTCGAAGGTGTGTATGCCGGAGAGCGAGAAACCCCCGAACCAGGCGGCCGCGAGGTCGGGCGCGTCGGGGTGCGAGAAGAGGCCGCGAAGGAAGGAGGGGCTGCCGGCGAGCAGCGCGGCGAGCTGCGGCGCGCGGGCCTCGCAGGCGAGCTTGAGCAGCTGCCGCTCCGCGGCGCGGCCCAGGGGCGGCGCGCGGCCGCGGTCCCGGTCGCGGTCGCGGTCGCGGTCGCGGGCGGGGTCTGGGAAGCTGCCGCTGGTGCAGCTGCTGCGGTCTGGCAGGAAGCAGGCGAGGGCTGTATCTGCGTCAACGTTTTGGAGGGCGGCGACGGTGTCGACCAGCCAGGCCTTGGCTTCAAGAGTAAGGTTGGGGTCGGCCTGCGGGCACGTATGCACGTGTTTGAAAGCACCGGTTGCGCGGCGCTTTCGCGGCGTGCACGACGCAACTGCGACACCGCTGGGGTGCTGTGCGCGTGCACACAGCGACCACCGCCATGCGCCTGCATGAGCGCCATGCTACAGGCCCGGAAACATGCTATAGGTCTCAAGTGTCACGTGCCCAGCATGCAGTCATATGTAATGCCACGCACGGTCAGGGCGCGCTCAAGAGAGCGCAGCGCATCCAGCAGCGCCGTTTTGATGTCGTGCGTGTCCGTGACGGCCACTGCGCCCCTACCCGCACTCGAAAGCGCCTCTGTGGTATACAAGCTACCCATTCAGATGTTTGATGACGGATAATATAGAGTCTACGAGATCCTTGAAAATTGGCCGTGATCACGCATTTTTGCGAGCCAATCGCAAGTGTATATGACTGGTATGGACAACTTTTCTATCAGCTAGGCCTGGATCGGCTTTGGCTGATGCCCCACCAGACACGTTGTCACTTGCTTCGTCACCAGCAGCTTGCGTTCCCGCTGCGCCACAATGCTGCCCTACCGCTTTGCGCTTACGCCCACAACGTGCACGCGCAAAGGCAGATGGATTCTTACAACAGGCCTACGTACCTTGGCAGTGCTCGTCCGCGTTGCGCGAGAGAGCGATTGCTACAGGCTCCGCATCCTGGTCAAAAGTCAAAGGTCACAAGCCACCAACCGCAGCTGCCCAACTTTGACCACACGCGACCCCTCCATTACTGATCATATACGCCGTCATCATCGCACCCGCCAAAGAAACACTCGTCATCGGGATGCGTGACAGGCATCACCTCGTCGCCACCAGCGAACAGATTGCCGCGGCCGTCGCCGCCCCGGTCGCTGCTGGGGCCGCCGTGGCCGCTGTCCATCACATCACAGAGCACAGGGTTGGCTCTAGCCTGCTCCATGGATCGCCGCCCCGCGGCGCCTGGACCGGGCGCCGCTTTCTTGCGCGGCGGCACGCCCCCCGCCGTCGACGCGCGGCCGCCGTGGCTGCGGCCACCGGCGCGCTGCCGCTTGCTGGCGGCCGGCGGCGTCGGCTGCGACTGCACCTCTTCCTCGCCGTCCTCCTCCTGTTGCTCCTCCTCCTCCACCTCCCCCTCTTCTGACTGCTGCTCCTCTGCCTCGCCCCCCTCTGTCTCCTCTCCTGCCTCTTCCTCCTCTTCGTCTTGACCCTCCCCGTCCACCTCCCCCAAATTGCGCTTCCGCGTGCCGCCCTGGGCTCCGCGCGGCGGCGCCGCCCCCGGGTCCGCCAGCGTGTGATCTGAGAACACGTAAGACACGAACTTGTCCCTCTGAAAATCCGGGATGTGCTGCCACGTCGGGTCCGGGCTGTCGGCCGCGTTTGCGAGGTGCGCCCAGCTGCCCACGCCTTGATCGGCAGCGCCGCCGGCCCCATTGGCCGCGCCGCCCTTGCCCGCGACGCCCCCGCCGGCCGCGGCCGCCGCCGCCGTAGCCGCCGTCGCGAGCTCGGCGG